ACCGAGATCGGATGCAACACTTGATTCGCCGATGAAGATCGAGACCCGGATCGAGCCGAAGACACGATGCCATGATGTGATCGAGAGAACCACTCGATCTAGTGGTCGATTTCTGTCCTTTCAACCGTTTTTGGCTGTTAGCGAAGGGGGGACCATTGGCTTGTTTGGGCATTTTAGGCAAGGCGGCAAGATGCTTTTTCGATAACTTTTAGATCCTTATCCTTTCTTTCATGTTTTCTCTCTCGTTTTACGAAGAACACCATTGTTGAACCAGTTTTTCTTTGAAGCTTTTGTATTCGAATCTTTATCGTTTAATCTAGTCTTTCTTTCATGTTCATCGTCGTATTTCTTATGCTTTGCTTGATTTACTCTATTTGTAGTGAGTAGTTTCCTTTGGGTTCGGGGTTGAGAGGATTAAGGGGTAGAAAGGGTTCGATCTTGGTTTGTTTTCTAAACGTTTTAAAGGCTATCTCTTCTAAGGTGTTGAAAGCTTAATGCTTGAGGACTCTCACGCCAAGAGCTTCATGATCCGAGAGGTTCCTTACCCTGATAGGATCCAGGAGCCTCAGAAGATCACACCTTAGAGACTAGTTACCCCTTCCCAAAAGCCATGGAAGTTTGGGGGACTAGTTAAGCCATTACTTGAAATCTGTTTTCCTTGCCTTTCGACCTCTCTTTCCACCAAAAGCCATGGGTTTGGAGGAGAGGATAAAAGAGTGATCTATACCGAAAGCCACGGATAGATCTTGTTTTGTTTTCAAGGCTTAGAGATCCTCACCAAGTGAGTCGATCTAAAGTTTCAAACCCAAGATCGATCCTTTGAAACCCTTTACATGAATCTCAACCCTAGGCCCTTTCTTTTAGAATCTCTAAGTCTATTTTCATCTTTCGCTTGTTATCTGATAGCATCCTGGTCATTAGATTTGTTGTTCTTACGGTTTTAGACGAGATCGATCGTTACTGCTCGATCTAGTGGTCGATCTTGTGGTCGATCCACTAGTCGAATTTTAACAATTCGAAGCTCTTTCCTTTAATTAATCTGTTTGTTTCTCGTGGTAGTTGCTTCCTTTCTAGTATTTTTAAAATAGGTTTCACTCTGTTTAGGTTGCTGCATCTAGTTCTTTGATATTTTCCCATAAACTGTCTCATTTTTGCTTAGATTTGCTTAGGACCTTGCATTCTCTGTGCATTCTCTATCTCCTAGAAGTGGATTGACACTCTCCTGCTTGCCTTACTACAACATTGCGTGCATTAGAGTTTTGATAACCTCTCTGCTGCATAACACGAGCTAAGAAACCCTCTATCACGATGTTCTGATAGTGACGATGAATTTTGTAAATTTGTAAACCCTTATAAATTGTTATATTCTTCTCAGCAGGAGAAATGCTTGAGATATATTTTTTTTGTGTGGAGCTTGGAATTTAACTAATACCACACAATTGGAGTTCTTTGTTGATCATGACAGAGGAGCTTCTTTTATACTCATCAAAGAGAACATAACTTACAACGAGCTGGTTGCGATTATTTTAGAAGATTTTGGAATTGATGGCAATTCCAATGGTCTGAAAATTAGCTATGGATCAATTTCAAGCTCTCTTTTAGCGTCAAAACATCTCCCTCCTATGGTCATTAGGAATGATCGGCAACTAGAAGCTTTTATGCACAAGATTCAAGAGAGTGGAGGAGTTTTTGAGTTATGTGTGACAATGAAGGAAATAAAGAGTACTGAACCTGCTACTAAATAACTACTATAATTACTTTGTGTCTATATGATTACAAAGCAAATTCATGAAGTATAATATTTATGTTACAGAGAGAAACAAACTCTCGTTTATTCATGGTTAGAAACAACATCTATATAAGTAATGAGAGTTTTACTGCCCCTGCTGCCCCACACTTTGTTGTGAATGAAGTATTTTCATGAAGCTTTGGCATGGCTTACAAATTAATTTTTATGAATGAATATAATGTACTCAATGGGACTTACAAAATTTTGCAATGGGCTTTTCAATTTTGCAGTTTGAAGAGAGTTTCACTGCTCCATCCATTCCTCCAATTGTGGTATGCTTATAAAAAAATGAGCCTTTTAAAAGGTTTTATAGTCTGTTCATCCCTGATATATATGGATATTTCTATTCTGAAGAGACGATCGAATTCAAGTACAATGTCAGGAATTTCGCAATTATCATCATCCTTTGATCCAGGACGTGCGGCTCCATCTGGTTCCTCACAATCCGTTGCTTTCGATAATGAAGGTGTGTATTGTGGAAAGCTATTCAAAGACAAAAATGAAATGGGCACGAAGCTACAAATGTTCTCGAGGCTTCATAGCTTTGAGTTCGGCAATGAATTATCAGACAGGAAACAGTATGTTCTATGTTGTGTTGATGAAAGTTGTAGCTGGAGATTTCGTGCAACAAGAGTTATGGGCTTCAAAAGCTTTGTTGTTCGGCAGTATGTGCACGAGCATACTTGTGACTCATCATTAAGGCATGCTAACCATCGGCAAGCAAGCGCAAAGGTCTTGGGTACTATGTTAAGTAATCATTACGATGGAGGGAAGCTTGGATTGAGACCAAAACAGATAACAGAAAAGCTAGAACGGATCATGGTGTCGTTATCTCATATTCAAAAGCTTGGAGAGCTCAAGAACATGCCCAAGCGATTACTAGAGGTACTCCAGAAGATAGCTATGAAGATCCGCCAATTTTTTTCCACATGGTAAAGCAAAAGAATCCCAGGTCTGCAACTTACATTGAGGTAGATAATGCTGGTAAATTCAAGTGCGCTTTCTTGTCCTTTGGCGCATCCATTAGAGGTTTTAAGGTGCTAAGGAAAGTAGTTGCTATTGATGGTGCTTTCTTGAAGGCAAAATTTAAAGGGACTTTGCTTGGTGCCACAGCGCAAGATGGTAACTTTCAATTATATCCCATTGCTTTCAGGGTAGTTGACTCTGAGAATGATGCCTCGTGGGAGTGGTTTTTGAGGTGCCTGAAGACTATCATTCCGGATGAGGAAGATCTAGTGTTTGTGTCGGATCGCACACCATCTATTGCGAAAGGTGTTTCGATAAATTACCCACTAGCTCATCATGGCATCTGCAGTTTTCATTTTGAGAAAAAACGTGGATTCACATTTCAAGGACACTTCTCTTGTGGCTTTGGTTCAGGAGGCAATGAAGGCTTACACTAAGTAGGACTTTAATCTTCTGTTTAACGAGATCAAGAATGCCCATCCATTGCTTACAGATTATCTGGTGAAAGCTGATGTCACGAAATGGTCACGCGCTTATGCACCTTCCACTCGCTATAACATCATGACATCAAAACTTGCAGAATCTCTTAATTATTTGTTAACTATCCCTCGCAAATACCCTATAGTGTGCCTGATTGACACCATTAGGTCTATATTGACAAGGTGGTTCCAGGAAAGGCATGAGATGAGTTCACGTCATCCGCACCCTGTGACATTAGAAGTCGGGAAGAGAATGAAAGAATCCTATGATAGTTCATCACGGTGGCTTGAAGTGTGTCCAATCAATCAGCTTAAGTTTGAGGTGAAGGGTGACAAGCGAAAGGAGGTTGTGAATTTGATGTCAAGGCAATGCACATGTTGTGTGTTTGATATTCAAAGATTTCCTTGTGCTCATGCGATTGCGGCCGCCAAAGCTGCCAAACACAACGAAAATAACTATGTCGATGATTGTTTCTCCAAAGTAAGGTACTATTGTCTATGCCTTTATTCTTGATTCATTTCGTGTTGTTCTGTATAGCTAATCATATTATCTTCTCACAGGTGGATACTAGCATATACAGCGAGTATTTATCCTGTTGGAGATAAGACTTATTGGGACATCCCTCCTAATGTAGCTAATTTTATTTGTCTTTCACCTTCTACTCGCATTCCTAGTGGGAGGCGAAAGAAAAAAAGGATTCTTCTGGTTGGGAGTATGGCAAGTCTTGTACCAAATAAAAAAATTACAAATATGGTAGGTGTGGTCAGAGTGGACACAACAAATCTACATGTCTAGCCCCGTCTGAGCTAATCTCTGATTTTACTCTCATATTAAACAGTATAATGAACAGCATGAACTCTATCATTTTATTACATTATTGTTTTTTTTTTGTTGGTGAGGTTTTGAATGAAAGGACTTGCGGTGTTTACATTAACAATTGGTTATAAGTACAGGGGATCCCTATTTCAAACCCCATTTTAAGATTTAAAAAGATTAAGTAGCTTTTAAAAAACATTTTTAAATGGTTTTAAACGAATATATACAGCTGTATTCGTAGCAATGACAAGTAAAACACCACAGCCTTAGGGGTTACAAACGCCTCCTAAAAGACACTCGTTCCCTGGTTCGAGCAACCTGAAGATATTTTAAAAGCATTTTTAAATGGTTTTAAATGTATATTCTAAAAATAACTAATATATACAATTATATTTTGTAGCTATGATAACTAAAACACCATTGCCTTGGGGGTTGCATACGCCTTTTTCTTATCCACGAGTCCCTTGGTTCGACTAACTTTGGATTACTTTATTCTATTATATATTTTTTATAAAACTTTTTAAACTTCTTTTAAATCTTTATAAAATATTTTTTTTAAGCAGATCCGAGTGGTTACTCACCCTCATCGACTAGCCATCGACTACACTCATATCGTGGTTCGAGCAACTAGGGATATAAAAATTTTGTGGATGGTTTTATAAGCTTTTTTAAATGGTTTTAAAAACATTCTTAAATCACCATTACATATAATAATTTAGAAGCACCATCCGCATTAATAGTGAAGCAAACGGAATTGATTTATTCATAATAAAAAAGTTAAGAATGTTGCGGTTTAGAAAATTTTCAAACATCACTATGATGTTTGAAAGTTTATTACAACATAGATAACATTATGGTCATAAAGCAAACACACTCCTTAATTCATAGCATATGATCGCGCCAACTCAGCAGCTTTTCTATTAAACTTCTCCCTGTCAGAGACATACACCAGAGTATTCTCGTTCACCTTATCAGGAAGCTCCAATCTTGGGGTAAGGAGCATTCCCCAAAACGTCATTAGGATCTATTTCCAGAATATAAGAAAGTTTCTTTAATAAATATACTTGACTGCAGGTATTAAAGTTAAATTATAACGAATAGAAAAAGAAACACCTACATCAGAAATTGTGAAACCATGAACCCATCCATTGTCCAGCATGTAGAGATAGACATCTCCTTTGTTAGAAACATTGGGGTGGAACACCTTGGTTTTAAATTTGACCTGAAAAATTAAGGAACCCGTAAGATTTAGACATAGACATTAGCAGTTGTTGCATAAGAGCCAGAGTTCGTATGAAAAAATTACAGTTACAGCCTTCATTGGAAACTGTGGGGAAAAATGCATGCTAAGGATAATTCCTCCACCATAAGGGCTATATTTTGGTCCTTTAATTGCAGCTTCCCATTCGAAGAGGTTGTCATCCACCGGACCTAAACAAAACATCTCTAAAGGATTAATGATCTAGAACAACAAAATTTGAATGAAAGTTTTCATCAAAGGATTAATGATCTACAACAACATAATCTTCACGTTTTTTCTGTCTCAATCATTAAAATGTGGGGTTTTCTCAAATCTATAACGAGAGAATATGCCATAAAATTATTTTAATACACAGACAGAGAGAAAATACGCAGAAAGTTGTATATGTAAACAAGGGACGAAGCGGTGCAAACGCCACCAAACACCAGAGAAAGTTGTATCTCTTCCTTAGGTGATAAGAGAAGAAGTTGATTGTTTCAATGCAAATAAATAAATAAAATGATTACCTCTTATCGATACGGTGTCATTTCTCTCAATGAAGAATCAATGGGGATTTTTTTTATTTTTTTTACAAAATTAACATATATTCTTTATAAACAATTACAATCACTGATATGTCAATTAAAACACCACCGCCTTGGGGGTTACACCTGCCCTCTAGTTTACCTTCAGTTATCTGGTTCGAGCACCTAAAACATTTTCAATAAACATTTTAAAAGTTCTTTTAAATATTTTATAAATTACAATACCAAATTTATAAGGATTTAAAAGGTAATTTATAAATCTTTTTAAAAGACATTTTAGAAAAAATAACCAGAGTAATATAAAAATAACTAAAGTGTATTCTCTTTATAAGCAGTTACACTAGAGGCTATGACAATTAAAACACCACAGCCATGGGGGTTACACACGCCCTCTAGTTTACCTTCAGTTCTCTAGTTCGAGCACCCAAAACATTTTTAATAAATATTTTAAAAGTTCTTTTAATTCTTCTATAAATTACACCACCAAATTTATAAGGATTTAAAAGGTAATTTATAAATCTTTTAACATCGTTTAAATAATCCATCATGTTCGACAAAATACAATTGGGCTTTCAACAACATTCAAATTATAACTTACAATCCACAAGAGTGTCTTAGATTTTCTGGGCCCGTGTTTGGGCCTGCATCATAACTAGAGCAATATAAAAATAACTAAAGTGTATTCTCTTTATAAACAATTACATTAGAGGCTATGACAACTAAAACATCACAGCCTTAGGGGTTACACACGCCCTCTACTGTACCATCAGTACACTGGTTCGAGCAAAATGGGGTTCACATAATTCTAATTCGTTATATGTGATTCAATCCACAGCCGTCGGGGTTGTTTGGAGTGTATTTTAACCCCCAAACATTTTTATAAACATTTTAAAACATCTTGTAAATCTTTATAACTTTTACATATCTTTACAAAGATTCAAAAGCTAATTTATAAATCTTTAATAACGCAAATATTTAAAATACAGAAAGTAAAAAGTCTGTTTCAAAAGCCATTACATTAGTAGTTGAGCTTTTGTGGCCAAAAAAAGAGAGGAAAAAACCAAAGAAGAAGCTTACAAGATTTTGAGCTGAAGAAATTTTAAAACAGACGAGCAGAAACAGCTTCATACTCTAGCCTTTTTGTTTCTCATAGAGCTTCTACGACCATCCCCTTTCATTTTTCTCTTTGACTTTTTGCTCTCACTAGGCGACTCAAGTAGTAACTCATCTGCAGCTGCATCATTGAGTTGGTTATCTGAAGAAGGTCCATCAAATACCTCACAAAATAACTCAACCACCAGCTTAATCCTTAGTTGTTCAATATTTGCAACGCAGAGACTAGACAGGTATGTCATCATACTCGCATGGAAATTATATAAACCTGTGACCTGGAAATTTCTTACCTAGAGTAAAACATTTTGTGATTAGTCAGCTAAGAACTAATAGAAAACAAAGTCGTTTTCTGAGTAACATACCTTGGATATTCTTGGTTGCTTTTTAAAAGTGAATTCTTTGGAATATCTCACACCCTTTATAAACCTTTTTAAAAGCACAATCATTATTTGTGCATATGGGATTGCCGAAGTCTCATAATCTGATAATCTGTCTGGGTATCTATCACTGTCCCATATGCTTACCGACCCTTTCTTCAAGTCAAGTCTGACAGCAACCCACTATTTGCCATGCCAACATTTTGGTGCATAGACATTTTATATGTCTTTGATCATCTTCTTCCCTGTATTGCCAATAGCCGGCAATGTACCATTGATGTAGCCTTAAATATTTTCGTTGTCGTAGTTGTACCACTTTTGACTCCACCGCCATCTTTCCCAACATCGTTTGAGTGTCAAAAGGAAATCTTCTCCATAGATGGCAACTCTACTCTTTGCAAAAACCTTGGGACTATTTTTTCTCCTTGTTCGAAGCAAATACATAGCAGACTCCATATGCTGCAATAAAGCAAAAGATATCATATACCTTTTTACTTTAAAACTACAAATGCGTACTAATCAAATATGATGTCCCTGTCCGGTCAATCTAATACGATGTCCAATTCAAATTCTAGTTTTACATGTCTGCTCATTACAATCCTTGGTGTCTGGAGGTTAAAAAACCAATCACCATTTACTTCATGTCCAAGAAAATCTTTCAAGATCCTACATTACAAAAGATATTTGTAAATCTCTCCATATTACTAAGCTAAACATATATGAAAACTATACTTACTTTGGGTTAGTTGAATTCTTCCATTCATCCAATCTTGCTTTCCTTGATAGAAGATATGGCTGGAATGGGTGGAATATTGGATGAGCTCCACCTTGTTGCAACTGAATGGGAACTTCATTCGTCAGTGGTGGTCGCAAAGCAATTCCTTCGCCAAATCCATGTCGGTTGGAATCCTGACTTTCATCATCTTCATCAACGTGAGCTTCATCATCTTCAAGAATTTTTTTGTTTGCATCGTCACCTTCATCATCTTTGGGATTTTCTGTACAACAAAACAAGAACAAATTTGCGTATTTTTGAAGCTGGTGTTATAAAATAACATATTCACATGACATAAATTATTATTACCGACAACAATATTGGTAGCCTCACCGTCGCCACCATGATCTTCATCAATATCGTCAAGAACATGTGTTTCCTCAACATTGCTAGTACAATCTCCACCATTACCTTCAACATTATTTTCTGTATCGTTAATATCAATAACATCATCTCCAGGATCTTTTGCAGCATTGTTATCCTGATCATTTTCAGGATCTTTTCCATCATTGTTATCCTCACCATCTCCAGCATCTTTTGCATCATTGTTATGCTCAGCATCTAAAGGATCTTTTTCCTATAAATCATAAAACATATTGTCAAAGCCCCAAAAAGTAACTGAACTTTTAAACGAGTTTAATAGATGCTTTTTTTTACCTATGCTGCCTTAACCCCCACAAAAGCCTCTATGGTCTCCACTTTGCCAATCAATGTTTTAAGCATTTCCATCATCTTGTCAATTTTGTCACTGTCAGTCATGAGAGGAGCCTCACGTGTTGTTCTACTAGGCTCCGCTCGTTTGTTATGATGTGACCGTATTTGTTCAGATGCTAAAACACCATCTACTTTTCCCTCTAACCACTCGGATCTGCTTAACCTATAGCCTTGCATTACAAGTTGCACCACTGTTGCAAAGTCTTTGACAATGAGATTTGTTGGTGGAACCAGTTTCTTATACTCCTTCGGATCCTCAACAACAGTATTGACTATAACCTGCAATCGCATAGCAAATACATTTATAAGATTTTAAGTAAACCAATGTAAGCAATATTAAAAATTTAAAACGTACATCCCATTGATTGTGCACATCAAAAACTTCTGAAATAGTAGGAGCTCGAGTGGCTTTCCACTGTAAACACAACGGGCCAGCAGATGAGCTTAAATCCAATCGACTACCAAATGTAGTACCTAGCGCAGGCACAACCGACAAAGCCCACAATGTGATTGCCCATACGAATCCCTGCACTTAACAATAACGCTCGAGTCATTGAAATTTAAAACACCACAGCCTTGGGGGTTACACAGGCCCTCTTCCTTTCCATCAGCACCCTGGTTCGAGCAACCGAGGTCTCGAGTGTTTGAAAATCTATTTTATAAACATTTTAAAACATCTTTTAAATCTCAACAAAAACTATATAAATCTTTATAAACATTTATAAAAACTTCTTTTAAGATTTTTCCTGGGCTCGTGTTTTGGGCCTAAAGTTTAAACAGTAAACATTCTATATATTAACAATAACGCTCGAGTCATTGACAATTAAAACACCACAACCTTGGGGTTACACACGCCCTCTTTCTTTCCATCAGCACCCTGGTTCGAGCAACCGAGGTCTCGAGTGTTCGAAAATCTTTTTTATAAACATTCTAAAACATCTTTTAAATCTTAACAAAAACTTTATAAACTTTTATAAACATTTATAAAAACTTCTTTTAAATGTCAGCTGACAAAATTTAAAAAAGTGAAAAGGAAATTTAAAAACCTTTATAAAATGCATAATGAAACAACATTGTTTTTTGTGTCATTTGAGTGGCATAATGATCCAAACACCATCAAAATTACACACTGAAGCAATGACCACTGGACTCTATTAACCATAAATTTTGATATTGCAGTCTACCATAATAAGAAAAAAAACTAAACTAATGATTCGAAACAAGAAAGGGAATGACTCTTTTCCACTCCTCTGCATCTTTGCTCCATCTCCTGTTCCTATACACAATTAGATCTACAACGTAAGATTTTTTTTGTGGAATGCTTTACAAAAGATCATACTCTCGTTTTTTACCTGACTTTGGCAAATTACGGTGCTAATAACTCTGAGTAGATATCAGCATCAAGCTTCAATCTTATATCCCCAATGATTTCTTCAGAAAGCTTCGTCAAGTCCTTGATGTGCATCGAGTGGCACTCTATGCTTGAAAGATTAGCTAATCACCCATACTACTGTTTTCTTGATGGCTATAGTGGTTTCTTTCAAACACCCATTCATACTAATGACCAAGAGAAGACCACTTTCACATGCCCTTATGGTACCTTCGCATATCGAAGGATGCCTTTTGGGTTATGTAATGCACCAGCAACCATTCAAAGGTGCATGATGTCTATCTTCTCTGATCTTATAGAGGAAATGGTAGAATTTTTCATGGATGATTTTTCTGTGTATGGTGCTTCTTTTGGTGGTTGTTTGTCAAATCTTTGCAGGGTTCTCAAGAGATGTGAGGAGACAATCTTGGTGCTGAATTGGGAAAAGTGTCACTTCATGGTGAAGGAAGGCATTGTACTTGGGCACAAGATTTATGAGCAGGGGATTGAGGTTGACAAAGCAAAGATAGAGGTCATGATGAGCTTAGAGCCACCGGTTAATGTGGAAGGGATAAGGAGCTTCTTGGGGCACGCTGGCTTCTACATGCGGTTTTATCAAGGATTTCTCCTAGATAGCATGTCCTCTTACAAGGCTACTGTGCAAGGAAGCCGAGTTCATCTTTGATGAAGAATGCCTTCAAGCCTTTAAGTCCATCAAGGAAGCTCTAGTCACCGCGCCTATAGTTCAAGCTTCGGATTAGGACGTGCCGTTTGAGATAATGTGCAACGCGAGTGACTACGCCGTGGGTGCTGTTTTGGGTCAGAGGAAGGATAAGAGGCTGCATGTGATCTACTATGCAAGTCGTACCTTGGATGACACGCAAGTGAAGTATGCTACCACCCAGAAAGAGCTCCTAGTCGTGGTGTTCGCTTTTGAGAAGTTTAGATCATACTTGGTGGGTTCTAAGGTCATTGTATACACTGATCACGCCGCCTTGAGGTACATATACTCCAAGAAAGACACCAAGCCGAGACTCCTAAGGTGGATTCTTCTCCTACAAGAGTTTGACATGGAGATCAAAGACAAGAAGGGGATTGAGAACGGTGTAGCGGATCATCTCTCAAGGATGAGAGTGAATGATGTCTTACCTTTGGATGACTCACTCCCTGAAGAGCAGCTTATGATGGTCAACACAGTGGTATGTGAAAGGCTAGATGAGAAGTTTTAAGAAGTCTTGAGCTTCAAGGAAGAAGATCTACCATGGTATGCAGATATTGTCAACTACTTGGCTTGTGGGGAAGAGCCTACTCACCTGGACTACTACCATAAGAAGAAGTTAATAAGGGACATCTCTCATTACTTTTTGGATGATCCCTATCTGTACAAGAGGGGAGTAGACAGCTTATACCGGAGGTGTGTCACAAGAGAAGAAGCTAGAGATATTCTTCTACATTGCCACGGTATGCCTTATGGAGGGCACTCGCTTCATTCAAGACGGCTACAAAGGTTCTACATGCCGGGTTTTGGTAGCCAATACTCTTCAAGGATGCTCACGAGTTTGTAAAGGCGTGTGAAGCTTGCCAAAGAGCTGGGAACATCAGAAAGAGGAATGAGATGCTGCAGGTACCAATCTTTGAGGTGGATGTGTTTGATGCTTGGGGGATTGATTTCATGGGTCCATTCCCATCATCATATGGCAACAAGTACATCCTTGTGGCTGTAGACTATGTGTCTAAGTGGGTTGAGGCTATAGCTTCCCCAACTAGTGGCTCAAAGGTGGTTGTCAAGCTCTTAAAGACTATCATCTTTCCAAGGTTTGGAGTTCCTAAGGTAGTGATCAGCGATGGGGGCAGCCACTTCATCAACAAAGTCTTTGAAGGTCTGTTGAAGAAGTATGGAGTTAAACACAAGGTAGCTACGCCCTATCACCCTCAAACCAGCAGCCAAGTAGAGGTATCAAATAGGCAAATCAAGGCTATTGTAGAGAAAACCGCGGGGGTAACTAGAAAGGATTGGGCAAGCAAGCTTGATGAAGCTCTATGGGCGTATAGAACAGCTTTCAAGACTCCCATTGGTACTACTCCTTTCAACCTCCTTTACGGCAAGTCTTGTCACCTCCCTGTGGAGTTAGAGCACAGAGCTCTATGGGCCGTGAAGCAAGTGAACCTCAATCTCAAGAGAAAGGCTGGTGCAACTCCATGAGCTTGATGAACTAAGGCTAGATGCTTATGAGAGTGCCAAGATCTACAAAGAAAGGACCAAGGCGGTTCATGACAAGAAGCTGGTGCTTAAGGAGCTCAAGGAGGGAAGTCTGGTGCTGCTCTACAACTCACGGTTAAAGTTGTTCCCTGGAAAGCTCAAGTCTAGGTAGAGCGGTCCTTTTGAGATTAAGGAAGTGTTACCGTATGGGGCGGTTAATTTGGTTGGCAAGAGTGGAGAGAGCTTCACGGTGAATATGCATAGAGTCAAGCCCTACATGGCGATTGAATGCAGCAAGGAGAGCGCCACGTTGCTTCTCCAAGACCCACCTCTAGCCTAAACCATGTAAAGTCAAGCTAAGGGACGTAAAACAAGCGCACTTGGGAGGCATTCCCATGTCTATCATTGTACATATTTCTGCTTTATTTTGTTTCAATTTTATGCTTTTTTTAGTTTAAGTGTGTAGGTAAAAGGATAAGGGAACCGGAGGTCACGATCTTGGAGTCAATACGGCAAGGAAAGGAGAAGTAGAGGCAAGCGATCGAGTAATCAATCGACCTATCCTAGCTCGATCTTTACTAGATCGAGCTAGTCAATCGAGTGAAGTCACTCGATCTAGATGAGATCGAGTAGACAATCGAGTGAGTCAGTCAATTGCGAGAGGATGACCCACCCATGTGTTTAGCTTGAAATGCAAACGGGGTGTGGATCGACTGACCTCACTCGATCCTCGAACTAGATCGATCAGTTTACTCGATCAGCTCACTCGATCCGTGCCCAAACGACCTTGAAATCGATTAAGGGACTTGATCAAAGGAGTAATGCCATAATAACGTAGGATCTTAGAACGAGGGGGCACACTCGATCTAAGGCTCGATTCAATTCAAATCGAGCCCCCAATCGATCAACCCTCTCGATTACTTGCAACATGGGCATGAGATCGAGGTCAAGATCGACCAATTTGACTCGATCTCATGTCGAGGTTAGTTCAAATTTTCCCCCTCTTTCTCTTTCCCTCCTATTTTAAATTTGAATTATGGTCAAGGCAAGCATCTTTGACCATGAAAGATGTGCCTTGACCACACCTTTTCAGAAACCACTTGCATGCATCCATAGTTTTCTTGGTCTTTATAAACACTTGTGCACACACTCTCTCCATTGTGTTTCGAAACTGTTTTCTAAAGAAAAGAGAGTGTGAGTTTGATTTTTAAGGCTAAGAGCATCTAGCATTCATCATTTCAAAGGTATTTCGGAGTTTCTTAATTTTTATGTTTGAATTTTTAGAAAATTTCCTTTTCTTTGAAATAATTTAGTGTTATTTTCTAGGGATTATGATGAATTTTTATAAGTATCTAATATTAGGGAAAATTGCTTGATTTGATCTTATCTCAAGATATTTTCGTCTACTATTTATTGAGAATTTTTAGAAAATCCCTAAAATTCTAGGATTTATGTTAAGAGATTTTCTCTCTTGCCTTATCTTTCTCTTTAATTAGCCGCCTATACTCATTCTCCTCTTTGAGAACTTGTATTTCAGGTTCTATGGCACCAAAGAGAAGCAGAGATTTGGCAACTTGAACTCAAGAGGAAGCTCAACAAGTGGTGGAACCGAGGGTTAGATGGACCAAGGAGGAGATGAAGGCAAAGAAAAGGCTAGAGAGGCTCCGGTTTGAACCCACTAAGTTTGCAAGCCGGGACCTCTTAGAGAAGCTCGGATTTTTGAAGTATTTTGACGACCTACTCAAGGACATGGGGCTTGCGTTCTTGTCAAGGATGGACTGCCCTACTTACCCCGAGGCAACGCTGGACTTCCTTTCAACCTTGGACTTCTCTTATGAAGATCCAAGCCTTCCATCTCCCTCCAAAGGTCACCTCACGTTCAAGATCAGGAGGCAGGCTTACCACCTCTCCATCACCGAGCTATGCCAAGCCTACGGTCTTAATGCTGCGGCCAAGCAAGTGGAGTTCCCTCAGCTCAAATCTGCCAACGACCTTTGGGACTTGATCTGCGATGATGATTACAAAGCCAACACCACCAAGATCAAGAAGGTCCGAAACCTCGTGCTGAGATATGCCCTCAAA